CTGACACATGTATTTATTTATTTATTTATTTATTTATTTATTTATTTATTTATTTATTTATTTATTTATTTAATACCCTGCCTATCTGGCCCACCGGACCACTCTAGGCGGCTTCCACATATAAAAATCAAATAATAAAACATTGACAAATACATAATAAACAAAAACAGCAGTAAAAATAAAAAGGAAAAGAAAAAATCAAGAGTTGGCTGGAGGGAAGGCCTGAATAAACAGCCATGTTTTAAATTGGGTTTTAAAGGTGCCCAGCGTGGAGGGAGATTGTTCCAGAGGCGAGGAGCCACCGCCGAGAAGGCCCGGTTTCGTGTCTTCTCCTTCCGGGCCTCTCTCGGCATCAGGCTCCTCAGCCTCACCTCCTGACTCGCGCAGGTGATCCGGGTAGACCTTGGTGGGAGGAGGCATTCCGTCAAATATCGAAGTCCTAAACCATTTAGGGCCTTATAAGTAAGCATTAAAACTTTGAAGTTGACACGGAAACAGATGGGCAGCCAATGCAATGCGGCCAGCGTTGGAGAGATGTGTTGATATTTTCTCACTCCTGTAAGGAGTATTTTCTTTTTGCATTCCTTCCGTACAATGACCGGCCCTACAGGCCCAGAATTCGTGGCTCCCCCACAGAACTCAATTAAGGCTGATGTTAATTGGAGTGTGAGGCTGACTGATCTTACTGGAACTAGCAGGTAAAAAGTGGGAGAGGCAGGAGATCAGGTGTATTTCTCATCTTGACTGGGACTCCAGTCGTGATGAGAAACTGGGAGAAGAGGGCTGACCCTTTGCCAAATCTGGGCCACCCACCTCTGCCTTTTATTCTAAAGATTCCTATAAATTCTAAAGATCCATCCATACAAAGAAAATAAAATGGCTGAAACCCTGTTGCTCAATGTAGTAACTCACAATTAGAGTAAAGTCACTGAATCAGTTGGGATTTGGAGAGTCTACTCCTCTGTAAGTTCCAATGATCCAAAGGGACCTACTCTAGTAGCAACTTACTATGTTAAGCCACAGGATTTCAGCCAACAATTAGATGCAAAACAAGAAAATGAACACCAGCACAAACATCCAGAGAGACGAAACAAGCAAAAGAAAACAACCCTTGGATGTGCCGCTGGTCTTTTTGTCACATCAGACTCCAAAATAATAAAGGGCAAGGGTCTCCAAACTGCTGCCCTCCACCTGCCATGGACTACGAAGCCCATCAACCCCAATCAGAACTGGTGGCACAAATGGAAGGGGCTAATCCAAGGAATAGTTTGTGGGGTGAGGAGAGAGTCTTGACAGGGCTGGAACACCTGCCCATCACCTCTCCTCACTTTCCTCCCCTGCAAGGGACAAGAACAAATGTGGGGGTTGGGCAAAATCCTGACGTCTCTCCCCCCCCCCCCCGCGCTCCCCCCCTGC